ATTTTATCCTACAACATGCCCTTATCCGAATGGCATACTAATGTATGAGGACGGTTTACCTCAAACCTTACTTGAATATACGAGTAATCAGCGTTATGAAATTGTTGAAGATTCATGCTGCGAATATTTCAACCAAAGTATATAATCAAATAATATAGTTTGTATTACGCCCCGGGCCCGATTATATATTCTGATTTCCATTTCATGATGTTACAATAGACTAACCAAATAGCATAGTTAGGTACTCAGACAATATATATAATTGAATATGGCGACGGCTAAATGGGATGAACATGTCTCAATGTATAACATGTCATCTCCCTTTTCATCCATTTCAAAAGCGTCAGTTGGCCCGTCAAGAATGCATATTTAGAAATGATTTCACACTCAAATTATCTTGGCTAGCTAATTAGATGAAAGTATTCCGAATGTCATAGCTGTGTTGTCGCCAGAGTTCAAGGTTAATGTGTTCCCAAAACTTAGTCGTCTGGTTTTCGCACACAGTGTAACTATGCTAATGCATGTTAATGCATGTCGTTACGTCATTGTGAGCCCACGAATGATAAATATGTGTTAGATATAAGCTTACTTTATATTTATGGTTTTATCCGAAGGCCTGTTGGTACTTAAATATAACAGCCAAATTCATCATCATACGAAATGAGTGTCATTTCATTTTATGGTTTTGCAATTGACTGAAAAGCTTCTTTCCTATGGACGGCTAAAGCCAACTCATCTGTACTTCTCAACATTTCGCATATCAATGTAGACATACTTGTCAACAGTAATGAGTTATAATGGCTCCAGGAAATTATCAACACAAGTATGAGGTAATATTTATTTTTGCTGATTCCATTTAAACTGAGTGTCCGGGAAACATGATCTCTTCGACAAATTAGTGTCACTCAAAACTAGAGACACAATAAAACCCTATTTCTCAATTTATAATTAAATTCCAACCATTTGAAACGAGTAACCTAGGATACTGATTTGACTCGTTTGTATATTGCGTAATTAAAATGATTCGTGGCAGTTAATATTGGTAGATCAATCAATAAAATTGAAAAGAAAAACACGACAAAACCTTGTTTGTTTTAATTTATTTATTGAATCTAAAGTTAAATAAATCAGTTTTAATTATCGTACATTTTGAGGAGGAGCGTTAACAAATACACATGCGTTCGCTCAGATCAGAATATTGTCTATTACGCCACCAACTTGCAATCTCGTTTGAGGTTATTTCAAGACGCGCCCTAAGTACCACAATGCACTCGATAACTGCAAACTTTTTCAGATGTTTCAAATCAAATATTGCTCCAAGTTGTGGTGTAATATGGAGGAGGAATATATTACAGATTATTGCACGACTAGCTAAGACATCATCTATTTTTCCATCACATCTCGACCCACGATTTAGCGAATTATTAGAATAATAATGCAAACCGTTGCTTATATTATGGTTAGATAAATTCTATTTGATTTTGTGCAGTGACCCCTTCATTGGTGGAAACTGACAATTTAGGCAATTCTTAGTAGATCGAATAAATTTCAACTTGAAACTACGACATTCCGTGAAGACATCAGATTATTTAAATATTGACCAAAACGTCAGAATAAATAAAGAGTGCCGGTTTTCGCCGTAAATACTGTGTACATAGAAAAGGTTTCATATTCCACCGTGTTCCATTGATTGTTTTTCGGTATTCCCAGCCTTGTTGGCGTCGCGGGAAGCTTAAGTTAATTCACATATAACCACGCCGGAAGATTAATATAAAGGCATATAGGGCTTCGTGACAAACAAATTTGCAACTCAAAAATTGAATCATTTACGATATCCCTTGTGTGACGAGCAATTCATTCCTTCTCGACGATAGAAAAAAAATATTAATACATGCTTATAAATTATGACTTGACATATTTTTGACATAAATTGTGTGGGATTTTTTTTTCAATTTTGTAATATACGTTCTTTTTATTAAATGCCCTACTATTCGTGATTATTCAATTCTTGGGGGAGTATGCTATTGAATTAACTTCCACTGAAGCTTTGTTATTAGTGAATTACGAGGTGTTTGGTATAGTGATCGTGTATGTTG